GTTGAATAAGGTTTTAGTGAATAACAAGTATCCATTGACACACATTGATGACCTATTTGATAAGCTTGAGGGTGCCAGAGTGTTCTCTAAGATCTACTTGCGTTCAGGCTATCATCAGTTCAAGATTCGGGAGCCAGATATCCCGAATACTGCTTTCAGGATTCGGTATGGTCATTATGAATTCCCTATGATGTCTTTTGGGCTGGCCAATGCTCCAACAACATTCATGCACTTGATGAACATTGTATTTCATCCCTATCTTGACTCTTTTGTCTTTGTGTTTATTGACGACATTATGGTGTACTCCCGGAGTCGGGATGATCATGAGCAACACCTGAGTACTATGCTTCAGACCTTGAGAAAAAAGAAGTTGTATGCAAAATTTTTGAAGTGTGAACTCTAGCTAGACTCAGTGGCATTTTTGGGCCATGTAGTATCGAGTGAGGGGATCAAGGTAGATCTGAAGAAGATAGAAGCAGTGTAGAGTTGGCCTAGACCATCCTCAGTTACAGAGATCCAGAGTTTTCTTTGCTTGGCAGGGTATTACCGCTGATTTGTAGAGCGTTTCTCGTCTGTCACAACACCTATGACCAGATTGACCCAGAAGGGTGCTCCGTTCAGATGGACCGAGAAGTGTGAGGAGAGCTTTCAAAAGCTCAAGACTGTTTTGACTACAACACCAATGCTGGTATTGCCTATTGGTTTGGGGTCCTACATGGTGTATTGTGATACGTCGCGCATTGGTCTCAAAACGGTGTTGATGCAAGACGGTAGGGTGATTTCCTATGCGTCTATACTACTGTAGGTGCATGGGAAGAACTATCCTGTCCACGACCTTGAGTTAGCAGCTATTGTTCATGCCTTGAAGATCCGGTGGCACTATTTGTATGGTGTCCCTTGTGAGGTCTATACCGATCACCGGAGTCTACAACATCTGTTTAAATAGAAGGATCTTAACTTGTGGCAGCTGAGATGGTTGGAGTTACTTAAGGATTATGACATCACCATTCTTTATCATACCTGGAAGGCCAATGTGGTGGTCGATGCCTTGAGTTGCAAGGCGGAGAGTTTGGGCAGTTTAGCATATTTACCAGTAGTAGAGAGGCCTTTAGCCTTGGATGTTCAGGCCTTGTCCAACCAGATTGTCAGATTGAATGTTTCCGAGCCGAGCTGAGTTTTGGCTTGTGTGGTTTCTCAGTTTTCTCTTTATGATTGTATCAGAGAGAATTAGTATGATGACCCCCATCTACTAGTCCTTAAGGACACGATTCAGCACGGTGATGCCAATAAGGTCACCATTGGAGATGATGGTGAATTACGGATGCAAGGCATGCTATGTGTGCCTAATGTAGATGGTTTGCGTGAGTTGATTCTCCAGGAGGCTCACAGTTCGCGATACTCCATTTATCTAGGTGCCGCGAAGATGTATTAGGAATTGAGGCAACACTATTGGTGGAGGCGGATGAAGAAGGACATAGTGGAATATGTAGCTCGGTGCCTGAATTATCAGCAGGTGTGTTGGTTCCCCAAGTACATGCAAGTATACGTGGCTGTCAAGTAATAAAGTGACTCGAAAGTCGGATGTCGAACCCATAAAGACTTAGAGCAATTGTCAACAAAGCAAACTAAAATCAGTTAATTATCCAAGATATTTAAGAGTGATGTTTTTCTATTAATCTAATATTGCGAAAATTAAAGAAGTAACAACTAATTTATCAAGAATTAAAATGTGTATGATGAAATTTTATTTTAGAGGAGATGAAAATTTCAGGGTTATGGTTGGTTTATCAATCCTATTAAGTTTAATAATTATACTCATTAATCCAGATTATCTATAGTTGCTAATTAACTAGATTGTTTATATAAATAGCATGTTCCCACAATACTACTCGCCTGCCCATAATATATCAATCCTATATTCCTATGGTATTGAGTCTATCATGAACGCATATAATACAGTATTCAACTAAGCAAGAATGTTAGGTATATTCCTATTCTAACCGCAAAATCGTCCCCCGAGCCACGTGTTCATAAACAAGCTCTCTCTAATTCTACTCTAATATAAATATGACATTACCAAGCATAACATAGATAGTAGGGTGGATTGGTAGCTACAACAATTCACAAGTTAAAACTAGAATTAAAGAAACAACCACAAGATGATAATCCGAATTAACGAAGATGTAATTAATAAACGTTAATAATCATGTCAACCACAACCCTAAAACTAGAGTGCTTAGCCACTCATGTTCGTAGTAACAATTTTTCAAGTATTTTGCATAAACAAATTACAAAGAAAAGATAAAGGAATGAAGAACTCAATGATTTTCTCCTCCAAAAGTTGTTCCACGTGATGTTCTTGCCTCTGCTCGCAAAAACTCCCTTAAAAATAATGTTAATTGACTATTTATATGTGTATGGAAGAGACCCAAATGAAATAACCAAGTCCAAAACCAAATAGGAGACAAAATAGGCTTTAAAAACCCAGAACACGCTCGCTGTAGACCGTGCCTCGCAACCTCTATAGCGCGCTTGGTCTCGCGATAACCCTCGCGACGCCTACTCCATCGCGAGCTAAATTGCTCGCGTCGCATGCTCTATAGCGAGCTAGATTGCTCGCGTCGCCCATAATTGAGTTCGACTTCTTGCTACCTAACATCAAATCAAATGTTAAGAACTCAATTCTGTGCCCAATTGCTTAGCTTTAATTCATTTTTTTTGCTGCCTAACTTTTCAAACTCATTTCTCATTCTCGTTTCTATTTATTTTTTCAAATCCCCTTGCATTGTTTCTTTTTATCTCTTCAATCATTGCTCCATATAGCATTATAATGCTTCTAATCGATAAATGATCATGGTCCATTATCTTAGTGTATAAAATACACATAAAGTCTCTACTTTGTTCCCAATTTTATTTTCAAGGCACCTACACATAAAATAGATTCAATTAAATACAAATATAGTATAGTTTAGCATTAAATCCCCAAAATGTAAGGTAAGTAATGCACTAAAAATATATAATTATAGCCAAACATCACTACCCCACACTTAAATATTGCTCGTCCTCGATCAATCAAACTACACTTTATATAGACACGACCTTTTAAAAAAATTCTCCTAACTCATCACACCAAGAATCTTTAAAATAGACTAAGTACAAGGGTGTAACATCTTCACCTTAAGATTTGACTCGCAAATACTATGCATTATTCACAACTCACTAACTTACTCTAACATAGAGGTCAATGACATTACCTTTCCTTCATGAATCAAGTACTCTCACACAACAAAAGAGAGTAGTTCCACACACATTAAAATTTAAGAACAATTAGGAACTCAAGATAGGAAGAATTCACTCACTCTCAGAAATAACATTCATATGCCACAAAAGATGCACCATAGGCTTGCCCGTAATGTACTACTCTACTAATCGAGCTCATTCAGTCTAGGATCAAGTAGGACTTTAATGGGTTGTAATGTA